ACTTTGGTTTTTAAAGCTACTAGCTGAGCAGCTAGTTGGTCGCTTTATTATGAATGAGTAGCTTGGGGAGTTGATTCCTAATCTTTTGCATTATAATTAATATGTTGTGCAGTATCTGTGTGATGTTAAATTGGCATTTACAGTGTTTGAAATACATCATATGATATCCTAAATTTGTTACCTACCTGTAATTTACATAATGATAGCTCATCATTGGTACAAACATTTTTCATTTTTCTTCCTTCCATGGAGGTCTAATGAGATAGAAGGTGGTGTTCTAAAAGAAAAAGAGGATGAATCTGATTCCCATCACAATTTTTACTTACTAAAATTGAATGCTACACGCAGGAAGATTCAGACAGTGTTTTTTACTTATTTTTATTTTGTGATTAATTGGTCTATGATGGTCTTATAAGTAGTGATACTACATGAGTTGGGTCTCTTGTAAGCCTGTAATTGCAGATTTGGTTCCGAATGTTGTTAGTGATGCCACCATTAATGGCTTTATTGTGAATATACCTAATTTTTTGAGCCGAGAAAGAGAGGGTAGTTTTATTACATTTTACCTCACTTGAACAAATGAAATGCTTAATATTGACTGAGTTCTTGTAAAATGCTTGGATGAGGGTTGCAGGTGTTGTGGTTTGGGGGGGGGGGTTAGGTAGGCAGTTGCAAGGTTGGGTAGAGAGGTTGTGTACGGGATACAGTGGGGTTCAGTGAGGGCTTAGGGGTTTTTAGTGCTATCTGCTAATGGAGACATGAAAGGGATGGATGATTTACTGTAGGAAGACTCTACAAAAGAGACTTCTGCCACAACCTGGGGGCATTGCTGGTCCTTGAAAACAAGGTTGGAGATGTAATATTTCAGGCTCCAGCCAAGGTGAACTGCTTCCCATGGTTGGTCTGTAGAAGAGCATGTTTAACTCAGGAAAAGCTGAAAAGGAGGAGATTCCAGATTGTTTCTAGATGCTTTTTCTACAATGAGAAGAAGGAAACAAACAGCCGCCATCTCTTTCTCTATTGCAGTCACTGTCCGTATATTACACATGTTTCGCAGACTTATCCATGGATCCTGGGTGATGCCCGAGCATACTGCATATTTTTTATGTTATTAGATGAGGAACGGGGAAGTAGGTCGCAGAAAAAATGGCAAAGTATAATCTCTTCCTGCATATGATGGTCCATGTAGATGGAAGGAAACAACAGATGTTTTGACAATATTACTAACCCAATGCAGAAAGTTGAAGGAACTGCATCAACACAATGTATTTTTTGGTGTAAAGAAGAGGGTATAGAAGAAGTAGAAGAGTTGAGTAGATATCCTAGGCTCTCTGTATTAAGATTACCTGCTTTTGTAATTTTTGAAGGTTGCCAGCACACCATTATTGCTGGAGAGTACAACTTTACCTTACTAGAAAAAAAGTATTAAAAGAGTAATGTAAATGAAAACAAATGAAGTGTTATTTTTACGTGTTTATGAAATAGAATTTGTATATAAAAACAAATGATTTGAGTAAGTAAAATGAGTACACTCTGAGACAGGATGTGCTCAAGTGTCTCTAAAGAAGCATTTGGTTCTATTGTTGATGAGATGAAACATATAAGGTATTAGTGTAATGATCAAGTTACTGTTAACTTAGATTAAACCGGATAGTTGTTTTACTATTGTTGAAAGCAAGCAGTAAGAAATGATTTCCCCATCCCCATGCCACTTTTGACTAAGAACAATAAAATTTTGCTTAGATTTTCATTCACCATACCATTATTTAATATCTGAGTTTTATATTCCTTGACAGGCTGCAATTTCTGCAACCTGGCTGTTCTTTTCTGCAATTCCAACTCTTCTGGTATGTGTCAATAAATTCTTCTTCTTCTTCATAATATTTTGTCCAATACTTATTTCTGCGCTTGCATAAAAGTAGATGCAGTAGAACTCTGGAAACAGATAAAGGTTGTTGTGAATTTCTTGCCTTTCTAGGACAAAGAAATGTTTACTCCACTCCTGAAGCAGAAGAAAGTGTGATTTTATTTGCAAAGAATCTTATTCCTATGCGGTGCACGTTTCTATATCTCAATAACTTAATGATCAATTTTGACTCTAGGCTTTTAGGCGAGCTGCAGAGTCACTAGAGAAGCTAATGGATGTTACTAGAGAGGAGCTTCCTGACACTATGGCTGCAGTTCGACTCTCTGGTATGGAGATCAGCGACCTAACTATGGAGCTCAGTGACATTGGGTTAGTACAAAACATATGAACTTATTCAGTTCTATGTCATAGAATTATTCTTGGACATGATGCTAATGTTATAGTCCTTATCTTCCCAGCCAAGGATTAACACAAGGTGTTAGAAGCTCAACTCGAGCTGTCCGTTTAGCAGAGGAAAGATTACGACAGTTTTCAAGCATGCCTCAATCAGGTTACTCGAGCTTTACCTGTCATTGCTCATTTATTGATTATTGAAATGGTTCGAGTGATGAATTTGGCTTCATCTTTACTTCATTAGCAACCGCGCAGGGTCTTCTAGTCCCAATGGAGACCAGGACAGCCGGACCAGCTTTAGCAAAAAAGGTGAGGGACCTAAGGGAGGGGATAGTTAAAGGCCGTCAAGTTTTACAAATGCTTTTCACCCTCACCCGGTATTCCAGAACAGTCTTCAGTTTCTTCAAATCCAGGGAAAAGACATAGATCCAAGAAAATCAAATCTGTCTCTTAAGTTGCACAAGTCCATGTGCTAGGCTGTCTGTTACTTTGTTCATATACATCAGACTTTTGCATGGATTTGGTAGTCTGAACTCTGATCCATGATGTAGTTCAGTTAGGTCATATGGAAAATGAATAATTTTGACATTGTTTTGCATGAACTTTGAAACTGTTTGAATAGGTTTTGATAATCCATCCTATATCAACACTAATGGTCCAAGGTTGTGTTTTTCTCTGTTATTTACGGACCGTGGAGCATGTCTAGTTCAACAAGGGGAAAAACTTATCCGCACTTGATGTTTATACCAATACAATAACTATATAACATAAGTTCTTACATGCACTCTTATCATTTAATCAAAATTCTAATCTCAAATTTATAATTTAACTATGAGAAATTAAGTAGTTTGGTGCAAAAGTAGGTGAGTGTGTCCCTTTTCCATTTCACCTACTATTTATAACAAGTCCAAATTATTTTCGATAGATCTTCGACCCAAGAAAATATCAAACAAAAAAATATCTGAATAGATTAATTCTTATGCATTGTTTCTTTTAATACGCCTCCACGGCAAGAAAGAAGAGTGTTTGAGTCGGAGGTATTAGCTAATTTTGAACATCTTCTTTCTCATATCTAAGTCTCCTTTCTCCTTGAGTGCTCATTGTTGTTCGGATCTTAACCTGGTTCGAGCTTCTCAAGCTCTATGCTTTTGGGAAACTCTGCTAGTGTTTAATTGACTATAGTTGAGTCTTTGGAGTTCTTTAGAATTATATCTCGTGCAGAAGATTTGTGCTTGTGAGTTGGGGTGAATATAGGGTATTTGGTGGTCGATAATCGTTTCGACCTGGTAAAAGTTATCGTTACACCTGTTGTATGATATATGACTTATCGAGATTATTCACCATTTGTATTAAAATGAAGAGAACATTATCTCATACAGAATGTGAGATAAAATAATCTCATAAAATATCCTTACTTATCTCATTTTTCATACCAAACGACTCTAAATTCTCAGCTTAAATAGCTTTCAAGAGAAAATTCACATAATTGCAACTTCATAGTTGTATTGACCTGTCAGATTTTTTTTTAATTACATATTTTATTCAGAGAGAAAGTAGCAAAAAATGAATTTGGAAAATTGAGAAAAAAACACTACAAAAATGGATCCAATTATTGAATCGGGGGAATTGAACCCGACGTGAATCGAACACGCAACCTTCTGATCTGGAGTCAGACGCGCTACCATTGCGCCACGGATCCTAAGATGTGACATTTATGTAATAAATTTTACATATAAAATAAAATAAGTGTACTATTGATCTTTTAATAAATTTTTTTCTAAGAAAAATATTACACAAATTCAACTTCCCATGATATACTATATTAAGAATTCCAGTTGTATCCAAGGAATTAAAAATTCTATTTTTCCGGACTCTCTATCAGGACAACTTATGGTGTAAACTCACAAGCGGGATTTGAAGAAGTCATAGGACGTAACATAGACTTTACTTTTATCATCGTAGGGCAGAAAATTTGTGTCTTGAAGGAAAGGAATGTTATAGGATCAAAAATGCAAGAAAACCCCTACCTCCCACATAAATCAGAATAAACACTTGATTATATATTGACCTTCTATCTTAATTCTCGATATGCGTATATTTTTATCTAGAGTCACATTCTCAATAAATTGAAGTCGTGTCAAGTCTTATCTATCACCTTTTCTCAATCTTTTCGGCCTATCACTGCCTCTCCTAACTCATGTTACAACTAAGCTCTCATACCTTCTAACTTGCCCGTGCATCCTTGTACACTTCCTTCGCATGTTCGAACTCCACCTCCCAAATATGAGTGTTCTTGACTAGATACCACTCTACTCATACAAATATTATATAACTATATCACTCTGTAGAACTTACATCAATTATATGCATATTGGTCTTTAATAAAGAATGTAGTTCTTTACTATTTGAATAAATTTAAATGATCAAAGATGATTTCAAATATATTTTTTATGTACACAAATAAATATCTTGTATTGAAGAGATTTCATACGATCAACTTAAAAATAAATTTATAAAGAGTTACAAACTTAGTTGATTCGATTATCATAAAATGTCTCCTTTTTTTTAATATAAATTTTTTTAAATAATTAAGTAGGTAATTATATTATTATTTAATTAGTTCCACAAATTCAGGTTCCGAAATCTATGGTACCAAATTCCAACCAAAGAAAATTAAACAAAATAATATCATTTTCCAAACACACCTACACCAAGAAACCAAAATACAATTAATCAACTACCTACCCCCCACCCCGCCCCACCCTCCTTCTATCTCCATCTTCATTTGCATGCATTTGCATGCAAATTCAACATCCTTAATTTTTTTGTGTATTCTTCCTCCTTTTTTTTTCCGAGTAATTTTTCCTCATCCATTGCTGGTTACCCTATAAACGGATACTAGCAATGGATCAGGCCGAACCACCACAACCACAACCATCATCAACACCAAGAACGAGCGTATCATCATCGTCTTCTTCTTCAATACCGGCTCCAACAACAACAACAACTCCGCCATCATCCCTTCTTGAACCGGTTAACTCAACCAAGAAAAAAAACCGGACTAGGGTTTTTCGAGTTTTTCGTAATGTTTTTCGATCGTTCCCGATTATAACACCGGCATGCAGACTCCCTTCCCTACCCGGTGGTCGCTTACCGGATAGTAACAGCCGGATAATAGCCGGTTCAAGAATCACCGGAACGTTGTTCGGATATCGAAAAGGACGTGTTAGTCTTTCCATTCAAGAAAACCCTAGGAATTTTCCTACCGTTGTTGTTGAACTTGCTTTGCAAACAAATGTTTTGCAAAAGGAAATGAATCTAGGCATGGTAAGGTCTTTTTATTCTCTTTAATATCGTTTTCTCTGTCTCAATTTATGTGAAACGGTTCGAAAACCAAATATCGAAATATTTTTCATTTGAATGTATATGTTTTAGGGTAATTAAAGAAACGTTATATATAGTGTTTTCCATTTGTTTGGAAACATTTTCATATTCCTTAAAATTTTAGCTCTAAATTTTGGAAAAAAAAATTATATATTTGAAAACAAGACGTAAAGTACTACCCATACGTTAGCAAAAATATTGTTAATTAATTAAAAATGTTTAGGAAGTATTTTTAAAAGAGAAAAAGAATGTTTGACTTTTGAAAGAGTAATAGTATTACATATTACATAAATTATGATAAAAAGATGTCTTATATATATATTGACATACTATATGTTTGGTTAATCCGAAATAACCTCTTTTATCCACGTCCTCCTTAAACCCTACTTATAACACTACATTTTTGTTATATTTGACTCAAATTGTTTCGTGTGTTTACTTATTTATATGTTTGATTTTAATAAAAATGCTGATTCCTTCACTGATTGAGTCACGACTTCTATTATTGATTAGGTAAGGATTGCATTAGAATGTGAGAAAAGGGATAAAAGGGAGAAGATAAATCTTCTTGAAGAACCATTATGGACCATGTATTGTAATGGTAAAAAAAATGGTTATGGTGTTAAAAGAGAAGCCACAGAAGAAGATCTTAGTGTGATGGAGATTCTTAAGCCGGTGTCGATGGGCGCCGGAGTTTTGCCCGGAAAATCTGACGTGGAAGGGCCGGACGGTGAGATGACATACATGAGGGCACATTTTGAACGTGTGGTTAAATCAAAGGATGCTGAAACCCTATATATGTTGAGCCCAGATGCAAATGATGGACCTGAATTGAGTATTTTCTTTGTAAGAATATAATTGATTAATCATAAAATTATACAATGATATTTGGGTCTTTTTATTGGTATTATTATTACTAATTAGTTGGATGGATCCCTCTAATATATTATTAGGGAGGGAAATTTAATGTAGAGTTTAACTTATATATACATATTGTTTGTGTAATTTTTTATACAATCAAGTCATTTGGGGCAGTGGACGGAACAGAGATGTATGTTTGCTTATAATCAGAGGCGAATCTAGCATTTCAAGAAGATCTGTGCACCATTATCAGGGTCCTAGGTGTAGGGGTTAGGAAAATTAAACTCTTTTTAATAAAAGTTAAAATCTTATGTGTATATATATATATATATCGAACCAATTGAAAGCCGACAATTATTGATGGCTCGGAAAGAAAGCCGAGTCAGGTCTTCTTCCCTTATCTTTTCTCGAGTTCTCAAATATTTGTTTTTGTCTCTCTTTATTCTATTATTAGTTCTATTGCTTCGATCCAATCATATTTCAGGAAATCAAAACCGAAGTCAATTCATTCAACAAAATCTGTTTGGATCAGATCTACCAGCGACCGATTTATGGAACAAGGAGTTAAGCAAAGACCAAAATATTGATTAAAATCTGGCCGAAATTAGTTTTGTGTTCAATTTGGCGCGATTGAAAGGATTTCTTTCTGCCATCTTTCTTTCCTTTCTCTCTCTCTTCTCTTAGCAAAGGTAGGTGAAAGTGAAGGTACCTTTGGCTTGAAGGTTCACTGAAAGCTTTTGCTTCTTCTTACTAATTACGAAAGGCTTGAAGGTTCACTGAAAGCTTTTGCTTCTTCTTACTAATTACGATGGTTAAAGTAAGAAGTTTGGACAAGTCTCTCTTAGAACTAGCTTTTTGGTTGTGAGTTAAATGCAACTCCTAATTTTACATAATATCATAGTAGGACTAATCTTATCCGTTATGAAACCCCTAAATTAAATTTTTCATATTCTAAATATTCAAAAAGTAAGGTGTTAATCAATGGTTAAAATTAATTCTTATCTCGATATAGTGAGATATATGATCTCTTTAATTTTTAAAATTTGAACAATCCTCCTTTTTTTAGAAAACGCATTTGTCACATGGTGGATATATGAATCATCGATGAAAAAGTACTCGTTGATGAAATTAATTAGCATATAAGGAATTAATTCCGTGCAATAATGTAAATAGTTATCATCACACGTAAGATATGCAATTTTTGTGTGGTCCTAATTGTACCAAAAAAAAGTTATGTGGTCATAATTGTACATAAAGAAAAGTTATGTGGTCCTAATTTCACCCAAAAAAAGTTGTGTGGTCCTAATTAATTGCTTCTTTTTTTGCATTATTACAAGTTTTCTGACTCAAAAATAATTCTTTTTTACGAACTGTCAAAATCCTCTCTTACTTTACCATCTTATCTTGATAGAGAGTAAAAAGGTGTATTTTTTGTGTATCAATATAATATGATTTGATATAGAAATTTTTTCATGATATAATATGATTTTATTAGAAATTTTAAAATTAAATAGAAATATAATATTCTTAATGAGACAGATTAAAAAGAGAATTAAATATATATTACATAAATTAAGATAAAAGAATAACGTTTATAACAAACTAAAATTTCCTTTAAGAATTAAATTAGTTTCATCCATTGATTTGATAAAAATATTTATATAATTAGGTTTCAAATAAAATAATTACAAGTATTAATAACCTTTTTGGTTTTTAGGTTAATTATTTGAAATTTTTTATCCTTTAACCAATTTAGATCTATTGTTTCCTCAATGATGGTAGTATCAAGTAATTTCTGTCAAACTCTAATATGATTCGATTTATAAGTATTTTTCATAAAATATGAGCAAAATCTTAAATTCTTTAACAATCAAATCAGTGGTTTAAAATACGTTTTTTGGGCGAGTCTTGCAGCGGAGCTTACAAAAAACGCTCTGAGGCGTAAATAAAAGACGTAGATCCATAAAGTGTAAGTCCTAAAGTTTGAGGTTTAAGCCTCGAGAATAAAAACATAAGTCCTGGACGTAAAAATGTACATCGAACGTTTTTACTTTATTTTTCAAAACTTATTTTGCTTTAAATCATATTTTTACTATTGGTGTATGATATTTCTCAAATAGTAATCATAATTTTTTTTTTCTTCATTATTGATTATTAATACTTATCTCAAATTAAAATCATAAATCATTGAAATATTTACTTTTGCTTATTCTATTAGTAATAAAACTATAAAATTGAATATACATAAAACTACGCCTCATAGATCCACCGGACTTACGCCCCATGTCTCAGGGCTTATGCCTCGCCCTGTACTGTATAAAACGTCTCGCCTCACGCTCCCGCCTTTTAAAACACTGGCTCAAATCTTCATTTAGAAGGAAGCTGATGATTAGAACATGTCAAAGGAACAAGTCTAACGAAACTGATTGACAGTTTAATCCTTGTGTGACTCTAACTCTACAACAACGTTGTAAGCACGTCAGTCAATTTTGTTGGATTTGTTCCTCGAACATGTTCCAATCACCAGCTTCCTTCATCTTCAACATTTCCCTATAGACACGTCAATCAATTTTGTTGGACATGATTCTTTGACATGTCATTCATCAGCTTCTTTCTTCTTCAACATTTTCTAAACGGATTCCTCCTCTATTTGGCTCTTCCTCTAAAGGATAGTTGTACAACAAGTGCATAATATCCATAAATTTTATCATCCACTTGATGAATTGATTTCAAGATATAAACTTTTTTTATTACAATGGGTTGTTCAAAAAGTGTTTTCCATCTTTCATTTTTATACAAATTTTTTCTTAAAAAATTGCATTAAGATCGTCTCATTTTAAACGTGGAAAGGATATTATTTCCAACTCATAAAAGTTAGAGAGTAAAGTAAAATATAGTCAAAATTTGATTATGATATACACATCGACTTTCCACATTGAAGTTGGACCCATTAAAATTGATATACAATTTCACCAGCAAAACAAATTTCTACGCGATAGGAACAAAAATAGGAAAAGGGTCAGATATATTCGTAATTTTCTTATTTTTGAATTGATATATTTTTCGTCACAAAAGTGGAATATATAACTTAAGTGTCATACAAATAACTTATATATATCATTTTTCTCATCCTTCTCACGTGTATTCTTTTGAGCTTCTTTGATTTTAATGTTAATTTAAATTTATTATTTTGATGGTCAAATCATTTATCACTAATTTTCTTGTAAAAATTTTCATGTATGCCCTATTTTTAAAAAAACCTTTTTAAAGATGCAAAAAATAAATAACAATATAGCCAGAAAGAATAGGTTAAAATTTTTGGTTACTTTTTTATTTCTCTTTTTTCTATTCATATTCTTTTTTTCTTATTTCTCATATATTTACATTAAAGAATATTGCGAGTTTGAGTCACTAAGAAAGCAAAACGGATAAGACCTCCTGAGAAGGAGTAACAAAAAGCAATGAAAGAGAAAATAAAATAAGAACAAAAGACTCAATAATGATAATCAACTTAAAGAAGTAAAAAAAAATTCATAAGGAATTTATTTAACATTAAAAATAAAAAAATTAAAATTAATTTTTTACTTCAAATGTTAGATAAGAAGTTATATGTGAGCCATTTTTATAATAAATATAGTACATGTGAGTTATTTTTATAATGATAAAGGTAAATATAAATCTCTTTTATAATAAGGAGTATATCAAATCTAAACAACAAAATTGAAAAATATATCAGTTCATTTTTCCATAAATATATTTAATCATATATCCAGGGGCGAACCCACATGGTGTCCGCCGGGTGCTCGAGCACCCATTAACTTTGTTACAAAATATATATATCTATGTAGAAATCGATAGATATTTGTATAAAATTAACATAGAGCGCCCAATGAATAAATCATATAGTTGATCCAATGATTCTAGGATGGATACTTAAAACTTTTTTAGTATTGCTGTACCAAGGTCGAATCTTATTGTTAACACATATTTTTTACAGAGCACCCACAACCTTAAAATAATGCAACGACCAAAATTGTGATTATGCCTGATTTAGTATTAATATGATTCAAATGATTACTTCATTCGTCCACTTTTATTTGCCATACATTTTTTAAAAATTAATTTGACTAATTTTTAAAGTTAAATTAAATTACATTAACTCATATTTTAAACAAAAGAATTAGATATCCAAAAACTATATGAAAAGTACTATAGATTACAATTTTTTACATATAATATAAAGAAAAAATGCATCTTAAAATATTAGTCAAAGTTCTTATAACTTAATTATAAAAATAGAAATTGTGACAAACAATAATTAAAGAAGAAAGTTCGAATTTACTCTCAAACTTTATAATTCCAATATAATATACATTAATTTTTATTAAACTAATATATGTAACTTAAGTAATATGTCGTGTAAGTATAAGAAACTCTCCCAAATAGGATTTACATGTAAATTCAGATTAGTTAAATTTTAATGTGAATATATATTTCACGTGAAATAATAAATCAAAAAAACAAAAAGAATGTCAACTTTTTAAAATTAAATTTGATATTTGGTTTAACTCGATTTTCCATGAACACCCTTAGTGATGAGTATATAAAGCTCAGCTCATGAAGAGTTGAAATAAACTAAGAAAACCATGGGAACTCCTTCATATGATATCAAAAACAAAGGTATCATTTCTTTATATGCCTAAGTATATATTTATTTATATATTTTGTAACTAAAATTTTATATTAAAATCAACAAGTGAGAGTTTAACAAAAATCATATTAAAGAAAAAAAATATATTAATTTTTAATCATGGTATTATCCTCCAGGAGATGACATGCAAGAAGAACCAAAGGTGAAACTTCACCATGAGAAGGTAACTTTAGTTTCTCCTTTTTCTTTTTTCAACTTCTTTATATATTATTTTTGTAAATTTTTTTATATTATAATGTTCAAATGGTCTCATTTTCTAATTAATAATGTGTCTGAATCGCCATGTTATTTATGTTAGATTTAATACATTAATAACATTGTTAGTAAATGTTAGAATACTGACTCCCAAATTCGCTTAAGGAACAAGTATATTTCATGTGTTTCTTTGCAGATAACAATAATTATGTTTTGTAAAGCAAATAAAATAATAACATAATATTTTATCGTAGAAAACTCCAACTCATTATTTAGATATTTAGATTATGATTTGCTTTAATTATACTTTTTTAAACATGATAAATTATTTCTGTTAGACATTTTCGATTCATTTTTTTTTTTACAAAAATTGTATTTGCTCTCAAACGTTTACTAGTTAGTTAAGTTAACTATACAAAATATGTCATCTCATTTGATTATATACATCAGGCTCAATTAAAACATATTGGAGATATGGAGATTTTACGATTCATTAACACTAATGTGTATAGTTAGAAAATGTGAAATATTTCAAATGGTTAACTTTTCTGTATAATTGACATTTGAAACTATATGTTTAATTATAACAAACCGTAATCAAATGTTCAAATAAAATTGAATGACAATAGGTATAAGGAGCTATCAATATATTAGCTCTTCTTGATTCAACTTATTTACCGTTATAATTAAATAATGACTCGTTAATTGATTTAATTTTTTTACTCACGTGAAATGATTTAATCAACTCATTTATCACCCTTATTTACGACTCATGTAGAATAATGTTCTTTATACTTGTATACAATTTACTCGGATATTTTTTTTAAATTTTTTTTATGTTTAATTAAATACTATTAAAATGAAGAAATATTATTTATAATTGAAGAATATTGAATTTTTTTTCCATCAAAATTTACAGGGAGGAGATGAAAAGGAAAAAATAATTGAAAAAGAGACTCCATCCCAAGATATCAACAACAAAGATACCATCTCTTCATATGTTTTAAGTATTTAATTTTTTTCAATTCTTTTTTTTTTCTCATCTTCTTATTTTAATCATCTAAAAGAAATTATTATTATGTTTTTTTTTAACTTTAATTATAATATTATCCAGCAGGAGATGATACACAAGAAATACCAAAGATGGAACATGAGGAGGTAACTATATATTTCAATTTATTTACTAATTTATAAATAATGACTTATTCATTGATTCAATTTATTTTAATTCGTTTGAAATCAAACTAAGGTTACCATATTATCACCCCACTCCCTCCACTACTCATTTAAAATGATGGTTTGATACTTTGCATGCAATTTTGTTTATTCATAAGTCATTTATTTTTCAAAAATTTTATGTTCAGTTAAACGTTTGCATACAATTTTGTTTATACATAATTCATCTATTTCTTTTAAAATTTTATGTTCAGTTAAACGATTGCATACAATTTTGTTCATACATAAGTCATCTATTTTTTAAAAAAAATTATGTTCAGTTAACGTTTGCATACAATTTTGTTCATACATAATTCATCTATTTTTTTAAAATTTTATGATCAGTTAAACTTTTATATACAATTTTGCTCGTACATAAGTCATCTATTTTTTTAAAATTTTATGTTCAGTTAAACGTAATAAATAAAATTAGACAGAGGAAATATTATTTATTATTAAAGGATATTACAGGGAGGATATGTAAAGGAGAAAATTGTTGAAAAGGAGACTATATCCCAATATATCATCAAGATTGAAGGTATAATCTATTTATATGTGTCTAAATATTTAATTTTATTTTTATTTTTCAGATTTTTTAGTAAGGGATTTTTTTATTTTTTTTCAAAAAATGTGAATCATTTTCAAGAAGTTAATATTATTTTTGGTAACTTTAATCTTGATATATTATTCTCCAGGAGATGATGATGCACAAGAAAAACTAAAGGTTGAGTATGAGGAGGTAACTTTAATTTCTTCTTTGACTTTTTATTTATTATTTTTGTATATTTTACTGTCTATTTATTTCATATTCACAAATTATATTTATCACATATATATTGCTTTATTTTCTTCAAAATTACAGGAAGAATATGAAAAAGAGAAAATAGTTGAAAAAGAGACTCCATCCCAAGATATCAACAACAAAGGTATATATCATATCTTCATATGCCTAAGATTTTATTTTCTTCTTATTTTTCATATTATTTTTATTTAACTAAATTTAGTATGAAACCTTTTTTTTTTTAAAAAAATCATCTTAAATAAAATATTATTTTTGGGTGACTCAAATCATTGACCTTATATATTCTCCAGGAGATGATGCACAAGAAAAACCAAAGGTGGAACATGAGGTAACTACTTATATTTTTCTCTCTCTTTATTACATAAAATCACATTAGTTATATGATAATTGGCTATGCTAATAATAAAAAAACAATTAATATATTTATAGGAATTTAAACAGGGTGGAGTGTCCATGATCTTTATTTTTATCTTGTAAAGTTACTAAGACTATTTCCAAATAGACCTTTAGTTTGAGCAAAATCTATCAGAAAATACGATAATAAAGAAGTCACGCTGAAAATAAAATATTAATTTTGTGACGTGAAAGCAATATCAAGAGCCCCGTCAATTTGTTGTATTATGTCAGATGCAACATCCTTCTTTCTTCTCGTGAAGTATAGGAGCGCTTAGCACACATCTCAACATAATGCGCGATAATAACGTTTTAATGGTGAATCTATCGGTATCATAACAATAGTATACAACTTTAAACCTAATGATCGTCTAGCTAGTAATCTTTCAAAATGAGGGACCCTAATTACTGACAAAATTTGTGTCTAACATAACTTATGTACCATAACAATAATATATCTTGTGTAATTTATGAGTGAAGGTAGGGTTTGAAATTAAACATAATCAATAAAATTGGACAAAGAAGATATTATTTATTAATTGAAAGATATTAATAGTTTTTTTCTTCAAAATTACAGGAAGGAGATGACAAAGAGACTCCATCACAAGATATCATCAAGATGGAAGGTATCAATCTATTTATATTTTTTATAAGTATTTTTTTCTTACAATTTTTTTATTTCCTTTGGTATATATGAAACTATTTTTTTTAACCATCTTTAAAAAAAAATAATACTTATGTATAACTATAATCATGATATTATCATCCAGGGGAGGGTGCACTAGAAATAACAAAGGTGGTATGTGAGGTAACTAAATTTCTTCTTCCAATTTTTCTATACATTATGTTTGTATTTTTTTTTTTGGATTCATTCGAACTTTCTTCGATAGAAAGTCTTGCTATCTATATACGATTAAAATTATATTGAGTTTACGATAAAAATATATTTAAACAATTCTTTTTTTAATTTCATATCTAAACTATTGAAAATGTGTCTGCCCTCGTAACCTCGGTACAAAGCCAACTAGAACCACATTTTAAATGATTAAAAAAATCTTTTGAAAGTGTGAGAAATACGCTGAAACTATCGCTTATTATTTTATTTTTACGTATATGCAATAGACAATATTGAATCCTCTTCTATTTATTCGTATGTTTACTTCCTCACATATCAAATCTCTTAGTAAAAATTCTGACTTCACCACTGTATATATCTTTTATTTTGATTTTTGATTGCATTTCATTTGTTTAGTTATAATAACTAATAAGGGTCTTTTATTTTATTTATAGCATGATGCTACTATTTTTTGGACACTACAAGGAGCATACAATTCAAATCTCAAACTTTTTTATATTTTTTTTCTATATTTTTTATTATAAAAGGATATTAATTTCTTTTTTCTTTCAAATACAGAAAATTATAGTACGAGAAGATCTTGCTGTTCAATCAAAACCTCCATCAAAGCGTGATCCTCCCAAAATGCAAACAGACAATAATAAACTCTAGAAACATCCAAAAAAAATTAATAAATAAAAAATTATAATTCAGAACGATAAAGTAAAAATTCTGAATTTGTCTCCCGTTAGAAAAGTAACTTCAAATAAATATTTGTCTTTCTTTGTATTTTCAAAGTGTAATTTGGTTATTGTACTTTGAGAAGCTTTCTTTAGATTGTTATGTACTTGTATTGCTTCCTTTCTTTTGGCTTATTTATATAATATAAATAAAAAATAAATAAATATCTAATGATAATTACTTTCTTTCCTTTTATTTATGGGAAAATGGTCTGCTATACCCCTCAACTTTGTCATTTAGAGTTGATATACCCCTCGTTATAAAAGTGGCTCATACATACCCCTACTTGTAAACAAATGGCTCACATATACCCTTTTCCTCTAACGGAAATGAAAAAAATAATAATTTTAATCTAAATTTTTATTATTTTTTTCTAAAAAATATAATCC